CAGAAAAGGGCCTTCCCCAAACCGTTCCCACAAAGTTGGAAGCATAGAATTGTCCAAAATGTCTTGGTATGCTGAAGCATTAAGAGTTCCCTTCACTGGAACGAAGGGGCTTAGGCCAACCCCTGAAAAACAACCCCATACCATTATCCCTCCTCCTCAAGCTTTATATTTGGCACAAGGCAGTCAGACAGGTAATATTCTCCTGGCATCCGTCAAACCCAGACTCATCCATCAGTCTGCCAGACAGTGAAGTGTGATCCGTCATTCCACAGAACACGTTTCCACTGCTCCGGAGTCCAGTGGCGGCGTGCTTTATAGTACTCCGTCTGACGCTTGCCATTGCGCATGCTGCACTTGGTGACGTCACTCTCAGTTTCTCTTGTTCCTGGTCCATTTGAGTTCTCCCTTTTACCTCAATGTACTACTAATCAAGGATATGATCATCATAGAGGAGAGTCTTATTTTAACACTCATAGCAAAGTACACACTAATTCCCCAGATGAGCACCATTTCCTCACATAACCAGTATGCAAAGTTATCTACCTCATTATAGGAATCAAAAAAGTTGTTACAAGTTTGAATATTCAGGGTTACGTTTCAACTTGACTAATTTCATTCAGCAGCAAAAATAGTCCCTCTTCGCCATCCTCTTCTCCCCCTTCTTCATCATCACCATCCTCATATGCATCATTTGGATATAAAATGCAGTGTTGATGTATCAGCATAAATAAAACTGCCAAAAGCTGGTGATTATTTTTGAGTTCTGAATTATGAACCGCATGATCTACACCTGCTTCATTATGCACTTCTGATTTTGAATTCATAAGAAAATGTTTCCAAAAAAGAAATCCTGAACGTCAACAGGAGCTTCCAAGAAAAACACTTGCCAAATGGTGGACTGGATGGAATAATGACTCATTCGTAATTCTGGGCTGACAGGTAAGTCAAATATCAAGTCAGTGATTTCCAACATGCATAGGATTTAACTGTATTTGACAGATCATAAGATAATGAATCTTATGTTGTGCAAAATCCATGAAGTTTTTTTCCATATGCTTCAAGATCATTTCAGTTTTGCAAAATAATGCGCACATTGTTACTAAATATATTTATTTTGGATATTTTATTAATGCGCCGGAAAAGTGTAAATACATCAAAATGTGGGTGAATGAATGTTTCTTGTATTTATGTAATAAAGTTGCATTTATGTTTCGCTATGAAGTATCGGACAAGCGGTTATGGATGGATGGGTTTCTGCGTGACTCTGTGGGTTACGGCACTGTGCTTGTTATCAGAAGGTTGCTGGTTTGGGTCCCAGGCTTGGCAGAGTGACAATCAGTGTCTGATTGCTCTAGGGACTTCCTTAATTGTCTGTCATTTTGGATAAAAGCATCTACTAAATAAATGTAAACTATTAATAATAATTAAGCACTCAAGGACACTGTACAATGAATGAAAAGGTACAATATAAATAGTAAAACAATAATAATACAAAAATACAAGAATATAAAACAGGTCAAAATTAGGCAATGCAATTGAATTCAGAGAGAGAAGGCAAGCTTTATTAATCAACTAATTAATGCGAGGACAATGATTCATGGTTACAAAAAAAATTAACTGTGTTCAGCAGGGCTAAAACTAAAGGTAAAAAGACCTAAAAATGGAGAATGTAACTAATACCATGAATTAAGGTAGAATGTTATTCAGTAAACTCAAAAAAACCCACAACAAATTAGTTGATTATTTTATTATTTACTACAGCACACACCCTAAATTATTCAATTAAATAGGAATTCTATTGACATATTGATAATACACAGCTCAAAGGCACAACATCACACCTCTGACATCATCCACTTCAGATGTCTGTCTTATTTTAACCATGATTTAAGAGCTAATTGGTAATACACCTATGACCTTATGTGGCACTGGAGCCACGCCATTTCCCCTGCCTTTTATGTTGAAACATCTCCTTTCGTTTCCTTTTTTAAGTTCTTGTCCTGCTCCCAGCTGGGTCCTGGTGTGGCTGAGTGGCGCCCATCGACCACTCCGCCCTCTTCTGCTCTTTCTGCTGCTTCACGTACTGCTCCCAGTTTTTCATGCAGTCCCACATCAGGCTGCCGTTCTTGTGCTTGTCTCTGTTTGTGAAGCGAGCACAGTGGCAATCATTCCTGAAAATGTTCTTGAGGTCATTCTCTATGTTCAGCTCCCGGGCCAAAGGTTTCTGGGCCATCTTGAATAGATGGTTCTCCACCATCCTCAGCCGGTGTCTTTTCCAGGAAAAGTTACTACAGTAGGCGTCCTGCCGCTCCAACAGGCCCTGCTCGAGCTCATGCAGTAGATCCTTAGCCTTTGTCTCCCATATTTTCTCCTTCAATGACGCCATGGCCTGCTGGTAGTCTTTAACAAGCTGACGCTCCTTTTCCAGCTCCAGCTCCAGATGTGCATTTTGGTCTTTTACTTGCTGGATTTTCCTCTGAGAAACTGTGTCCCAGATCCTATCTAAGAAGCAATTCAGGTTTAAAAATCAGTTGTTCTATAATAAATACAGTGCTTTAATAGCATCTGAAATCTACGGAAGCCCTGAAGGGCAAAACATGCCAGCAAATACAAAAACACACCAGCAAATATGAAAACATGCCAACACATATGAAAACATGCCAGGAAATACAGAAATATGCCCGGAAATACAGTACAAAAAACACACAAGCAAATATGAAAACATTCCAGCAAATACAGAAACATGCCAGAAAATACAAAAACACAGCAAATATGAAAACACTACAACATTAGCGGCACTGAAAGTGGAAAGGGTATGTACCTACTGATCATCACATGCTAATTACCTGTGAATCAGTCAACAGTCGTACCTAGTTAATCCAAAAATACCATTTTTACATACCAGATGGAAGCAAAGGATAAAAAGAGAAAATAGATGTTATTAGATGTGACCATACACATTGAACGCAAAAGACTTTGATGGTTCTGTGCCATCCGCGGAAAGTTATGAGGATACTCAGGGTTCCCCCTGGAGTCTGATTTCAATTCTTCACATTTTTGCTTCTACTATTCAAATTCTTCACTTTTTTTCAGCATCCGTCATTCTCTCGCCGCTTCTTAATAAATTAATCATTAAACTCACTGAATATACATCTCTTCTGACAATCACACTACATGTGATTGGTCAACTAACGGCATGGGCGAGTCACGAGTCTACTTGATAAGGTTGGGAGAATCGTGAGTACTGTGTAAAAATTTGCGTGCTAGCGTGCTGAAAACATGATGTATAGTACGCATGGGACATTCTAAAACGCTTAATGTGAAAACGCTTAATGTGGTTTAATGTACCAAAATAGCGACCAATAATCACCAAATTTCGCACACACACATCTGGTCATAAAGATTTTCACCTGACAAAAAATCAAAACCGAAATACAAGGAATATGGTCTTTATTTTACGTTAAGCGTTTTCCCCTCCATTGACGCCCATTATAAGGAAAAGGCTTAATGTAACTTAAAGTACCAAGACAGCCACCAAAAATCACCAAATTTCTCACACATATATCTGGTCATAAACACTTTCACCTGTCAAAAAAATATAAACCGAAATACAAGGAATATGGACTTTATTTTACATTAAGCCTTTTCCTTATAATGCAGGGCGTCAATGGAGGGGAAAACGCTTAGAAAAATGCAAAATGTGCAAATTGTTGAGCATATAGGCTAAAAATTAAATGTTAAATTTTAAAACACCAATTGGAGTAAACAAGCAATATGTGCAACTGAAAACTAAGAATAATACATATAGTCAATATACACTCACCTAAAGGATTATTAGGAACACCATACTAATACGGTGTTTG